TGGGATTGCGATCTGGAGCAACGCGAGGAATGAAGTTTGGCTTTGGATTTTCAAAAAAACGAGGGGAAGTTAACAATGGTGCCTTTTGAGGATTTCCCATATTCTGAAATCTTGAGGGACTAAAGGGAGCTCTCTGCGGGGGTTTACTGGGAGTGTGGAGCAATTCATTCTCATGAACTTTGGCAATTCTGGCTGCAGCAGAAACTGTCTTGACCTCAAACTTATGGGCTTGCATAGCAAGATGAGGATCCATATTACTCAGGAAAATGCTCAAAGAGTGAGCATCAAGAAGTGACACTCGAGCTAGAGCATTTTCAAATTTTTCCAAATACACCATGGTAGATTCACCAGCCTGCTTCACACTGACCAGCTCAGCTAAAGGGTCATCATACACATCACCAAAGCGAGAAGCCACAGCAAGAACATATTTTGGCCAGGATGGAAAATTCCCAAATCGATTATCCATATAAGAGAAATACCGTTTTGAAGCTTTACCGGTCATGTACAACGAAGCTAGCTTCACTTTGCGCTCTGCTGAGGTGCCATCAAGATCAAAGTATTGCTCACAACGTTGGATCCAACCTCGTAAATCTGAACCTTCAAAACCCAGAAACTCGATCCTTGTCAACCGAGTTGATAACCCGTTAGGCACCGTTGGGCTCCGATCAACTCCAAGTGAGGACCTCCTGGAAGATTCGTGTACAAATCGGCGAAGATCTGGAGGATCGGGGGGATGAGACTGAGTCGGAGAGGCTGTTATACCTTCGGATGGAGACGCGCTCATCTACGGCTGAGTTTCAGAGAGGATCGGTGATTTCAGAGATAGATGTTGAACCATCATCCTTTCCAATCGATTCAGAGATTCATTCGTGGAGTCGGTGGTTTGTCGAAGCCTATCGGTAGTTTGTTGAAGCTGATCGGTGGTTTGTTGAAGCCGATCGTGCCTCTCCACTTGCGTCGTCTGAGCTTGACGGAGCTCATCGAGTTGTCTGCTCATCTCGCTTGTTTGTTGTCTGGTTTCCACCGTCATCGTGAGTYCCGAGAACCGGTMGGCTCTGATACCAATGATAACGTAATCAAGAGTTAGGATAGATCCTTTCTAGTGATCTACTAAATAGATCCTAAGAAAGGTGATACCAGCTCTAGAAGATGGTTAAGATGAAGAAAACCCACCTCGAAGATACTGAATCAATGGAAGAWAYRGATGATGATCAGAGAGAAAGRGAGAGYAAYAAGATAYATTGTTCTGGATTATTATTCCCAAAAGGCGTTGTTTTCTTACAAGTATTATTGTTGGTACGTAAACCAACTTAACCAACACTCTGGTTTTGACAAGCAAAACGAATTAAACCAAAAGTACAATACCGATAATAGATAATAAAGAMATCATACCGGATATGCCACATCCTATAACACAAATCTTCTCCATCTTCSTCTTTTGTCGAATCRCTCTCTCTCAMACATCATCAAACTTTTCAAATGTCGCCTTTTGATTSTCTCCGTCATATCYACACRGATTGYRAACATTGTCTCGTGGTTCTCTGCCGTATGCACAARAAGTTAAGGAAGATGAAAGGCTTAGAGATGTTGCTCTAGGTCCTAACCAAAGATGGATCAAAGACAAGAATTCTTCAGGTTCTGACAAAAAAGCATAAATTTATATGATTTTGAAACGTCGTTTCTTCGATTGTGTTTGATTGATGACAAGAGATGTGTTTCCATGTTCGGATTTTGTAGGATTGTTGGAAATTGGAAGTCCTTTTCATTCTCCTTTTGATGAAGAACTAATTTTGAAGGCAAGTTGAGTTTCAATGTTTAGCTTCTACTTTTTTAGGTTAATGTTGCTAATCTTGTGTCATCCGTGTAAATGCTTGTCTCTGGTTTTATCAGGTGGAAATGCATTTCAAAGTTGATGCAACAGCACAAGAGGAGTCTCCGATGAGCTATGCTTTGTCCTATATCTGTGGAGCTTGGGAAGAGGAGTCTTGAATTTGCCATCCTTGCAAGCATCAACCATATATGTATCTGTTGAAGATCTTAATGTGCCTCTGAAGTCAGAACAAAGTAGTTCAATTCCATTTTTATACTTTTTCTCCTTAATCAAAACTTGAGTTTTTTGTAAGTTTCTTTCAGTTATTGTATGAGATTTGGAAGAGGTTCTAATGCGGAATTAAATATGAATCATGATGTCTTTTGTTTCAGTTTCTTTACTTTTTGTTGTTTTTCGTTTTTGTAAAGTAAATTAGTAATGTGATTACGAAATATTAATATCAATAAAAATTATTAATAACAGATTAAAATATTTAAGATATGATTGCAGGACAAAAGCGCTATAGTACTATTGCAAACAAATGGTTTCTGGATACAAATAGAACAATTAATTTTTTTTTTGGTCGAAATTTCATTTATATTAAAGGTTAACACAAACCAGAATTGATTACATCAAGAGAAAGCAAGGCCGATTTGGCTAAGGCGTCCGCTTCAGAATTCAGATCTCTTTTGACAAAACCAAAGGAGATAATCTGTAGATCTAAAGAGAGGAATCGATATCATGGAGAATTCCATAGATTTCGATGTTTTTAGTTTTTTAGTTTATCAGGTTGATAAGAGTTTGAGCATCTGAGATCACCCTAAATCGGTTCAACTCTTCTCTCTTCGCTTGCAGGAGGGCCTCTCGAACTGCAATTGCTTCAGCCATCATGGGCGAATTGACATGATTTACAGCTTTTGATCTTTGGGAGAGGACTCGATCTGTATTGTCCTTGATGATCCATCCAAGACCTGCGATTTTTGACTCTTTTCTCCAAGCTGCGTCTGTATAACATCGGAGAGTTTTTTCGATCGGTTCGATCCTCCCATCACGCGGGGGGAGGAGGAGATGTAAGCAGTATCGTTTTTTTGGGCCAAGAGCCATTTCCGAGCGTCCTGCATAGTCTTGTGGATGGTATCCTCCGGCGTGAAACTTCTATTGGAGAAGATCTTGTTATTTCGAGCCAA